AGCACTGTGGCATAGTAGGCTAAGCCTCCACCTGTGGTGCCAGCATCCCATATGGGCACTGGTTTTAGTCTCAGCTGCTCCATTTCTGATCCAGCTCTCTGCTATGGCCTGGGAAAGCAGTAGAAGATGGCCCAAGTCCTTGGGCCCCTGCACCCATGTGGGAGACCTGAAGGAAGCTCCTGGCTCTTGGCTTCAGGTTGGGCCAGCTCTGGCTGTTGCAGCCGTTTGGGGAGTGAACCAGTGGATGGAAGTTCTTTTTCTCTATCTCTCCCTCTCTGTGTAACTCTGCCTCTCAAACAAATAAATAAAATCGTAAAAAAAAAAAAATTCCTAAAAATGCATAACCTGGTGTGCGTCTCTGGGACAGCACAAGTTGGAGGAAGACCTATGTTACGATGCCAGCTGGTAGGCACTTTATAAGCCTGGGTCCATGGTTATGCAAGGTGGAGGTGCTTGCTGGGGCTAGTCTGGCATGGGACCCGCGGCTCGGCAGGACCTCGTGGCTGCCCACTCGGTGGAGGGTGAGGTCTGAGCTGCGTGCTCTTGTTAAACACGCTCCTCTGCTCTTTAGCCATCTCGATTGCCTGCTGACACAGAGGCGGCTCCTTGCTCCGTGTGTTTGGACAAACCATTGCCGGCATCCGACGTCAGTCGTGAAGAATTTACCACACTGGCTTGATTCAGACTTGGCAATGAGTCCACTTCGCTTTGAGAGGTCTGCCCCAGCCCAGTCCATGCACCCATCAGCATCTCTCACTTGGGGACAGGATGGAGTAGATTTCAGGTGGGACACTTCAGAGCGACCCATTTTCACAGGTTTCCACAATGAATGGGAGAACTTTCACACGACCTTTGACCCTTACTGTCTAGTGCAGCCTACGATTGCGTTGCGCTGTGTCCTGTCCCCCTGTTTCAGCGGGATGGATTCTGATGACGTGACCCTTCCGTCATCATCTCTGCTCACGTCCTTTGTAGCGAAGTCTGGCTTCCCCGATATTAAAACAGTCACTGCAGCCTTTCGCTCTTGTATTCACACGCCAGGCCTCCCCCTGCCCCCATTCACTTTCAGTCTATCTGTGTTTTCATATTTACAGCGTCTCAACAGCAAGGCCTCTGTCCTGGCTGTTTTCATGAACTCCCCTGACAATCTCTGGCTTTTCCTTGGAGCATTTAGTGCTTTAACAGGAGGTGACCTGACCCACTGGCTGGACACTGCCCATGAACACAGGCACTGCTTCCTTAGGCATATTTGTTTCTTTTTGATGTGTGAGCTCACCCTGGGAACGAGCTGAACTGGGTTTTCCCAGCACCCTTGATGCGTCCAGCTGGGAAGGCGAGTGGCGCTCCTTCTGGGCCTTTTACCAGCCATCTAATGAGGCTTGACAACGAACCTGCCCCACGGTAGCCTCTGGGCATAGGAGCCTGTGATAGGATGAAACCGGGGTTCACATTACAGCATGCAAAGGGTAAATGGGGCAGTGATAATATTGGTTAATCTCCATCCCTATAGCATCTTTCTTTTTAGAAACATTTTAATTTTAATTGATTTTAGATTTTTTTTTGAAAGGCAGAGAGAGACAGAGAGACACACACAGAGAGAGATATCTTCCATCCTTTGGTTCACTCCTTAAATGTCCACAACAGCCAGGGCTGGGCCAGACTGAAACCAGGAACCAGGAACTCCATCCAGATCTCCCATGTGGATGGTAGGGGCCCAAGTGCTTGAATCATCACCTGCTGTCTCCCAGGGTGCACATTAGCAGGAAGCAAGATAGGAAGTGGAGATGAGACTCAAACGCTGGCACTCTGATTTGGGATGTGGGCATCCCGGGGACGACTAAGCCAACGTGCCACATGCCTGCCTCATAGTATCTTTCTCATGAAAACCTCTGCTCTCTGTTCTTTTGAGCTGTGATTTCTTTTCATACTCTGCATACAGTAGATCTTGGAAGTCATGACTTCAGCCCTGTGGATTCAGTTATGGCAACTCAGGGATTTGCACGTGGCTGGTGTCAAGAGAGTCACGCAGCTGGAGGGCCCACCTTGCGAGTCACCCCCACGCTCCAGCTTGGCCTCGAGTTCTGCTCTTCATCCCTGCTAATAACCAGCACTTTTGTTTTAAATTCTTTTTTTAAAAAGATTTATTTATTTTTTATGTATTTATTTTTGACAGGCAGAGTTAGACAGTGAGAGAGAAAGAGAGAGAAGAGAGAGAGAGAGAAAGGTCTTCCTTCCATTGGTTCACCCCCCAAATGGTTGCTACGGCCAGCGCGCTGTGCCAATCTGAAGCCAGAAGCCAGGTGCTTCCTCCTGGTCTCCCATGGGGTGCAGGGCCTAAGCACTTGGGCCATCCTCCACTGCACTCCCGGGCCACAGCAGAGAGATGGACTGGAAGAGGGGCAACCGGGACAGAATCCAGAGCCCCAACCGGGACTAGAACCCAGAGTGTCAGTGCTGCAGGCGGAGGATTAGCCTAGTGAGATGCAGCGCCGGCCATTTGAAAGTCAGAGTTACACAGAGAGAGGAGAGGCAAAGAGAGAGAGAAAGTCTTCCATCCGCTGGTTCACTCCCCAAATGGCTGCAATGGCCAAAACTGAGCTGATCTGAAGTCAGGAGCCAGGAGCTTCTTCCAGGTCTCCCATGTGGGTACAGGAGCCCAAGGACTTGGGCCATCTTCTACTGCTTTCCCAGGCCATAGCAGAGAGCGGGATTGGAAGTGGAGCAGCCGAGACTCAAACTGGCACCCATATGGGATGCTGGCACTGCAGGCTGCGGCTTCACCCGCTACGCCACAGCGCCGGCCCCGCTTTAAATTCTTAAGAAAGATTTACTTTATTTATTTGAAACTCAGAGTTAGAAAGAGAGAGAGAGAGAGAAAGAGAGAGAGAGCGCTCTTCCACCCACTGGTTCACCCTCCAAATCACAGAGACTGCTAGGGTTGGGCCAGGCCAAAGCCAGGAGCCTGGAACTCTCTCTCCCGCCCCCCTGTGGTCCTTGGGACCCCAAGACCCAATGGCTGTCTGTCCAGTGCAGAACCCTGCAAGTCCCTAACGACTTGTAGGAGACATCTCAGGTGGGGGGCCTGGCCCTACCACCCGAGGTTCTCCCGACCCCGAAACATAGATGGGGGGGGGAAAATGACGCTAAAAACTTGAAGAGGGTCGCTCCTAACGAATGATGATTTATGTTAAGAGTTTGTTATTTGAGACAGGTGCTTTGCACAACAATTAAGATGCCACTTGGAGAGGCCAGGTCATGGAGTAGCAGGTTAAGCCAGTGCCTATGACAGACACTAGCATCCCATGTGGGTGCCAGTTCGTGTCCCAGCTGTTTCATTCCAGTCCAGCTCCCTGTAATGGCCTGGGAAAAGCAATGAAGGTTGGCTCAGAAGTGTCTGGGACACTGCCATCCATGTGGGAAATGAGGAAGAAGCTCCTGGCTTTGGCCTGGCCCAGCCTTGTCTGTTGCAGCCATCTAGGGAGTGAAACAGTAGATGGAAGATCTCTCTGTCTGTCTGTCTTTCCCTTTCTCTGTGTAACTCTGACTTTCACAAAAATAAATAAATCTTTAAAAAAAAGATGACTTTTGGGGGACTGGCATTGTGGCAAAGTAAGTTAAGCTGCCTATTGTGATACCAGCATCCCATATCAGAGGGCTCTTTCAAGGCCTGGCTTCTGATCCAGCTTCCTGTTACTGCACCCAGGAAAGTGGAGGATGATGGCCCAAGTGCTTGTGCCTATGTTACCCACATGGGAGACCCGGATGGAATTCTTGGCTCCTGGCTTGGACCTGGCCCATCACTGGCCATTGTGGCCATCTGGGGAGTGAACCAGCAGATGGAAGATCTCTCTCTTTTCTTTCTCCTCTCTCTACCCCATACCTTTCCCCTTCTCTGTCACTATGCCTTTCAAATAAATAAAAATGTAAAAACTTGTCATTTAAAACAATATGTGATTACTTCACATGTGATTTAGGTGGGCACCACATACTAATCCGGAGTTTTGATTCAGAAGCCACCATAGCCACCTAGTGTCTCTGGCCTTCCACTAGCCCCCAGGAAGGCCCCTTTATGGTGGGTGGATGCCTTGGCTCGCCAGGCTCCACTGCACAGCAAACCTGCTCTTGCCCACCTGCCCTGATCCAGGGCCACTTTTGTGTCACCTGGGGGAATTCCCTTAGCCTTGGTGAGCTTCACCTGTTAAAAAGAGGTTGGGTGGTCCCCGGTGCATCACAGCGTGTGAGTCTCACAGAAGGACACAGGACACACACGCAGAGGGTGCCTGGCACAGGGAGGGTGCTGGCTGTCACCTGTGGGCACTGCCCCCCACTCCAGATCTGGGGCTGCTCCCCCTGCCTAAAACGCTCCCTGCCGCTGACCTGTCCTGTCCTCCCACCCGGGTCCTTCCGGCCTCCCGGCTCAACCTAGGGCCGGCTTCATCCCAGCGCAGCGCCTCAGCGACGGAACAACACATGCTGGGGGAGAGAGGCTGGGCACCGGCAAGGTGTGCAGGCGGCGGAGGCAATGGAGGCGTTTCCGTGAAGATCCCTCTCCTGCAGACCGCTGGGGCCTGTGACATTCATTAGATGCACAAAGGTGGCTCCGGGGTGCTCGCGCAGGGCCCCAGAGCTCCTTGGCCCGGCAGGAGGTGGGTGCGTGTTTCCAGCGCAGCGGGATCAGTCTGGGGCCCGCAGGGCGCACAGCAAGGGACGGCGGGGTCGGCCCGCTCCAGGCACTGCCAGAGAGCACGCGGGAGCCAGGGGGTGGGCGCGCGGGGAGCGGCCCCTGAGCAGGTGTGGGCTCAGGAGGAGAACGCAGCAGCGCAGCCAAGGGAGCCAGAGAGGAGCTGCGTGTCTCGCACGCGGGCCGGGCTGCTCTGGCGGAGGAATGCATGCGCCCCACCCTCTGAGACGGCACCGCCCGCAGTTCTAGGCAGACTGGGGCCTCTGCGACCAAAGGCGACTCCCTGCGCGCCAAGGCGGGGCCGCCGGGTCACACCGCGGATCTGACCGGGATTGGACGCCGGCCTGGGCGAGGTCGCCCTGCGGGAGCTCAGGTCCCAGCCTTCCCGGCCCGCGCCGCGCCCCTGAGGTCTCCCGGCCGAGCCCCCGCGAGGGGCCTGACGGCGTGGACAGGGCTGGGAGCAGGAGGAAGGGTCCCAGGACGACCCTGACGATGGTGACGCCTGGATGCGGACTCCTGGCTCCGCCTGTCCGAAACCACCTCGGGGTCGCACTTTAGAGTCACCACCACCGGCGACACCAGGCTCCACCCGGACCCTTCCCGGACGTGGGTTCGGAGCCTTGACCCCACCCCCGGGCCCCCATTGGCCCGACCGGGCGGGGGCGAGGCCGGGGTGGTGCGGGCGACAGGGTCTGGCTGAGGCCGGTGCAGGTCCGCGCCGCCGGATCGCCCCGAGCTCTCGCGCCGCAGCAGCCCGGGGCGGATTAGCCGACGGTGCGGGTCTCGGGAATAGCTCCAGTTCCGAGGCGGCGGCGGCGGCCGCGTCCACAGGGCCCCAAGCAGAGACAGGTGCCTCGGGAGTGCCCTGGGGCCCTAGCCGTCGCCGCGGACGACAACTGCCCGGTCCCGCCGGCCGTCGAGCCCAGCCCACCGCTCGCCGTCCGGGCGGTCCCGGGCTCCGGTCCCAGCCGCGGAGCCGATGCGCGTCCGCTGAGCGCCCAGCCCGGCCCGCCATGGCCGCGCGCCCCGGGCCGCTCTGGCTCCTGGGCCTGGCTCTGTGCGCGCTGGGCGGCGGCCCCGGCCCGCGCCCCCCGCCCGGCTGTCCCCAGCGTCGCCTGGGAGCGCGCGAGCGCCGCGACATGCAGCGCGAGATCCTGGCGGTGCTCGGGCTGCCCGGGCGGCCCCGGCCCCGCGCGCCACCCGCCGCCTCCCGCCTGCCCGCGTCCGCGCCGCTCTTCATGCTGGACCTGTACCGCGCCATGGCCGGCGACGACGACGACGACGACGCCGGGGCCCCTGAGCGGCGCCTGGGCCGCGCAGACCTGGTCATGAGCTTCGTCAACATGGGTGAGTGCGTCCTGGGGAGGGCAGGACCCGCGGTGACCGTGTGGACGCGGCCTGAGCGTGGGGCGCCCAATCCCGCCCCCTGGGGAGCGAACACGACCTGCTGAGAGTGTGTGCGTCCCTGGGCAGTGCCAGCCCCTGGCCGGAGCGGGGACCCACAGGCGAGGAGGACCCCCAGGCGGGGCAGCAAGGGTCTGAGGGGTCCGCGCAGGCTGAATGGGCACAGAGGGGAGTGGAGACTCCCGGGGTTGCCTTCGCCTGGGCGCGAGACCCACCGAGAGGAAGGACCAGGTCGTGTGGGGGCCCACTGGGCTGCCCAGGGAGACGTGTGGTGCTGGGAGACGGATGAGTAAACAGGCTGGATGCTGGCACCGCGATAAGGGCAGGACTGAGGAGAGAGGCAAAGGTCAGTGTGACACCTGCGGTCACATCATCACAATGACCAGTGTGCCTGGCTGCCCCGTGCGGCCGCAGGCTCTATCCCTGCAGAGCCCGGAGCCCGGGGGTGGGGAGGGAAGCAGCGGACTCTCCTGGGTGGGTCAGCGGCTGTGTCTCCTCCCCCTGGGCCCTGGCCCTGCCTGTGTGAGGGTCCAGGCTGGGGGTGACCACCAGGGGCAGCCTGGACCCTCTTGCTGCTCCCAGGCAAACCCAGCTTCCCTCTCCACAGAAGTTTTCCTCACACCATGGAGCGTTTGCTCTTCAAGTTCTCAGCGTCATTTTCCCCCTTTGCTCTTTGTTCTGGGGTCACGAGTACTTCCTGTGGTAGGGTCAGGCCCCCCACCTGTGCTGTCTCCTGCCCGTGGCTAGGGACAGGCAGGGGTCTGCACTGGACAGACAGCCAGTGGGGCCTGGGGTCCCAAGGACCACAGATCAGCCTGGCTGGGGGAGAGGACCCTGGCCCCAGCCACCAGGCTCCCCTCCCCCCTGCTCTGAGTCCTCCCAGGCCCCCACGCCACCCAGGTGAAGACAGAGAGGCTCGGGGAGGCAGTGGCACAGGCGGGGTGGTGCAGGCTGGACATGGCCCTGGCCAGGACAGGCCCGGGTTGTCCAACTCCACATTCAGCATTTAAGGAAATGAATTTCTGTCATCAGCCAGTCAGGGAGAAGGGCACTGAGAGGTTTGGGCAGAGGAACCCGGAGGATGGACCAGTAGCAGGGGTCCCCAGACATTTGTTTCCCACCCTGAAGCCTCCCCTGCTCCAGCCCAGAGCTAGTGGTAGGCTGAGGAGACCCAGGGCCAGGCCTAGGATGTGGCCAGCGGGGTATGGTTAGAGGATGGAGGAGACCACGTATAGAGCCGGGACTGGAGCTCCGACAGGGGCTATAGACCAGGAAGAGCTGTGGATGGAGCTGCCCGTCAGCGTGAGTCACTGCCCAGACCACGGCCTGCTTCTCTCGGCACCTCCTGGGTCAAGGTACAGCCCTGGTGGGAGCTGCAGCTGTGAATCGGGCAGGGCCTGCCCCTGTGTGTGAACCTGGGGACAGCGCTCAGCCTCCCTGAGCTTCAGGGCCCTCCTTGGGAACTGGGGCCCCGCAAGGATCCATGCTCGGGCTGTGACATGGCTAGTTGATAGAGGGGAGGAGCAGAAAGTCAGCCTCTAAATCCATCCCTTTGGAGGGCGAACGTGGGCCTGGCCACTGCTGACCCAGGTCCCTCCCAGCTGCCACTCAGCCTTGGTGGGAACGTGCAGGGAACATCCCCACAGGTCTTGTCCATGTGTGAAACCCAGCAGAACCGGAGTCTAAAGCCCAACCCAGGGCGTCCCTACCGCACTTTTTTAAAAATTAATTTATTTTAAAGGTAGAGTTACAGACAAGGGGGGAGAGAGAGAGAGAGAGAGAGAGAGAGAGAGAGAGAGAGGTCTTCCATCCCTTGGTTCACTCCCCAAGTGACTGCAACAGCCAGAGCTGCACTGATCCAAAGCCAGGAGCCAGGAGCTTCTTCTAGGTCTCCCACATGGGTGCAGGGGCCCAGGGACTTGGGCCACCTTCTACTGCTTTCCCAGACCGTACATAGCAGAGAGCTGGATGGGAAGAGGAACAGACGGGACTAGAACGGACACCTATATGGGATGCCAGTACTGCAGACCAGGGCTTTAATCTGCTGTGCCACAGCGTCCAGCCCTGTACCACTTTTTAGGGGAAAATGTAGCCTGTGAGCTTTCACAGCCTTTAACTCCTTGTTTGGTCCAAGTAGCCACAGGGAAACCATTTTGCCTCTCATGGCATGGCATGGGCTCCGAGAGTCATGTACCACATCCAGGGCGACATCCCTGGCTCTGACTCCCAGCCCCGGCTTCCGGCCCTGCCTTCGCGTGTGTTTCGTTAGCATCTGGGCCTCGATGCTGTGGGATCACAAGCAGCTCTGTGTTCAGCGGATGCCAGGCCGTGGGCGGGCGGGCGCCGCCAGCAGCGCCTCCCCGACTGGATGCGCCCCTCGGCCCCTCGGCGGCAGCGCCAGGCTCTGGCGGAGCAGTGTGCGCCCTGGTCAGCAGGGCTGTGTGTGGGGCTCAGACACAGACGGGCGCCTTCCTGTGTTTGGAGGCCCAGGCCTCGGGCTCTGAAGGTCGGGGCACTGCAGCACCGTGGGGTCTAATAGCAGAGTCGCCGCGGTATCCACGCCCACGCCCAGGCTCCCACACCTGCTGCCTCCAGCTCCACCTCTGCTATCGGCCTCATCTGGCTCCTGACAAGCCTGGCCCGTGCCTGCCTGGCCCCTGCTCGCTGATGGCGGGGCAGGCGGAGCACCAAGCCTGGGGCGTCTGACAGGGCTCCCACCGCTGCCGCCGCCGCCTGAGGCCTCTGTGAGGAGCAGGTGCTTTAGGAGGTGGCTGACAGCGCCTGATGGGGCGTCCAAGGCTGCCATCAGAGCCCGCAGCCCTGCCCGGCCTGAGCGCTCAGCATGTGGGCCCAGCACCTCCTGTCTGCACACAGCCATGGGCCGGCTCCCCACGTGGCACCAGTGAGGCCTGCCCGGGTCTCCGTGTGCCTGGGGCGGGAGGCAAGACCCAGACTCCACCACGAATTCCCGCCTGTCCCATCCCATCCCCGCCCGGTGCTTCTGCTCTCCCGTCCACCCGGCCGTGATGGAGTCAGTCCAGCGAGGGGCCTCCGGGCTCTGTGTCGGAGACACCTGCCCGCCACCCGTCCTCAGGGCTCCAGCCTCTCAGGCCTGCCCAGCCCCTCCCGGACCGTGTCTGCCTGTTCTTGCTGAATCCCTGTCCGCCCTGGAGCAGAGGCAGCGCCCGTGTTCCAGACTGAGAAACCAAGGCACAGACAGTGCGGCCAGCGGAGGGCTGGCCAGGGTCACGACAGGACCACCTTCACTTCCGTCCTGCCCCTTTCTCAATCCCACGCATGGTTCTCCCGGCCTCTGGGGCCGAGGACGGGGTGGGGAGGCGCCGAGGCTGCTGGATTTAGGAGACTCAGGGCTGCATGGGAATTAGGGACCTGCCCAGTCCCGCCCTGCCTTTGCCAGCCCCGTGACCCTGAAGGACAACAACGCTTGGTCTCCAGGGGCCAGGGTCAGTTTTTTTGGTTCTTAACAGGAAGAGTTTTCCTTTTCCCACTCATTCTTTCAGCAAACAGTGCTGTGCACCAGGCCCTGTTCTGGCTGCCATGGGTATAGCCGTGGACAGAGCAAAGACCCCTCCTTTGTTCACTGGTTCACTCCCCAAATGACTGCAATGGGCAGAGCTGAGCTGTCCTGAATCCAGGAGCCAAGAGCTTTTTCCAGGTCTCCCACATGGGAGCAGAGGCCCAAGGACATGGGCCATCTTCTACTGCTTTCCCAGGCCACAGCAGAGAGCTGGATTGGAAGTGGAGCAGCCAGGACACGAACCAGTGCCCATATGTGATGCTGGTGTTGTAGGCCAGGGCTTTAACCCACTGCACCACAGTGCCTGCCCCCTTGTCCCTTCTCTTGCATCTCACAGTTACAGTCACATCTTTTTTTGTTGTTGTTATTTTAAAGATTTTATTTATTTATTTGAGAGTTAGAAAGTAAGAGCAAGAGACAGAGAGAAAGATCTTCCTTCCGTTGGTTCACTCCCCAAATGGCCTCAATGGCCAGAGCTGCACCGATCCGAAGCCAGGAGCCAGGTGCCCCTTCCTGGTCTCCCATGTGGGTGCAGGGGCCTAAGGACTTGGGCCATCTCCATCTTCTACTGCTTTCCCAGGCCACAGCAGAGAGCTGGATTGGAAGAGGAGCAGCTGGGACTAGAACCAGCACCCATATGGGATGATGTTACCACAGGTGGAGGATTAACCTACTGTGCCACAGCCTGGGCCCCACATCTTTGTTTTTAAAAAATGAGTTCAGGGAAATTAGGATATTTTTTCAAGGCCACACATCCTCTGCTCTTCCCCTTCATAGCCGTTGCCTCTCCACACAGTCTGGGGAGTGCCCCATTGCTTGATGCACTAAGCGCTGCAAATTGAACTGCATTGAATGTGAGCATGTGATGTAAACTGAGGCTCCTCTTTTAAAATTATCTTTGGGGATTTACAGAACTGATGTTCCTTCCTTGTTGAAAATTCATACTGAGAGTGAGCGCGAGGTATAGTGGTTAGAACGAAACTTGGCATACCACATCATGCCTGGTTACTCCACTTCCCATCCAGCTTCCTGCTAATGTGCACCCTGGAGGCCGCAGGTGATGGCTCAAGTACTTGGATTCCTGCCACCCACATGGGAGACTTGGATGGAGTTGCTGGCTCTTGGCTCCAGCCTGGTGCAGCCCGAGCTCTTAGCTCCTGGGGTGACCGTATGCCGGAGGTATTTGTCTTCCAAGAATTGCACATGGGTCCCTTTTCTCCCAAGCCCTGTCTGACCACCATGAGGATGTGTCCTGTGGGTCCCTGATGACTGACCCTTCCCATCTCCTCAATGTCCTCCTGCCTCTGTAAATGGCTGCTATTGTCCCCAGTTAACAGAGGAAGAAGTTGTCTCCAAAAGCATGGGTTTCTGGCCACAGGTCCTGGGTATGCAGATCCATAGGAGC